GATCTTCCTGGACCGGGGCACGAACCCGTGTCCCCTGCATCGGTAGGTGGACTCTCAACCACTGCGCCACCAGGGAAGCCCTATTTCATTCTTTTTTATGGCTGAGTAATATTCCATTGTATATGTGCACCACATCTTCTTTATCCATTCATCCGTTGATGGACATTTAGGCTGTTTCTATCTCTTGGCTACTGTAAACAGTGCCACTATGAACCTTGGGGTGCATGTGTCTTTCAGAGTTATAGTTTTGTCCATATATATGCCCAGGAGTGGGATTGCTGGATCATATGGTAACTCTATTTTTAGTTTTTGAAGGAACGTCCATACTGTTCGCCATAGTGGCTGCACAAATTTACATTCCCACAAAGAGTGTAGGAGGGTTCCTTTTTCTCCACACCCTCTCCAAGCATTTGTTATTTGTATCCTTTTTCATTATGGCCATTCTGACTGGTGTGAGGTGGTGCCTCATTGTAGTTTTGATTGGCTGGTGCACATTTGATAGCTGGGAAAGTGAGTAGGAAGAAGGTAAGTGCAGGTTCCCACCAGGTGAATTGTTAACTCCACCTGAGACCATGTTTTCTTAACAAAAGAGCTTCTCAAGGGGTTTTTTGTTTGGAAATGCAGCTCATCCCCGGGAAGCTCTCTTCTTCTTGGAAGTTAGACTGACACCCGGGACAATATGACAGTCATGTGGCAAAAGGCTCCCAAGACATCCAGGGACAGTGAGGATGGTGGGCCAGCAAGGGCAGACCCGGACTACCTCCTACCAAAGGAAAACAAAAATTGCCACAGGACACAGCCTACACTCAGAAGACAGAGCACGAAACCCTGGAAAAGCAGTTGTTATCAGAGATCAGGACTTTAGTGTCAAAAAAGACCACAGGGCTTCCCTGGTGGCGCAGTGGTTGAGAGTCCGCCTGCCGATGCAGGGGACACGGGTTCGTGCCCTGGTCTGGGAAGATACACATGCCGCGGAGCGGCTGGGCCCGTGAGCCGTGGCCGCTGAGCCTGCGCGTCCGGAGCCTGTGCTCCGCGACAGGAGAGGCCACACAATGAGAGGCCCACGTACCTCAAAAAAAAAAAAAAAAAAAATAGACCACAGTATTCCCCAGCATGAGTTAGGCCATTTTGTGTCACCACTACTTTTTGAGCAGCATATATAATATTAAGTTTTCTTGCATTAACTCCCATGTTTCCTTCATATCTTTCTAATGGTCTTTCCTCCCTCACAGAGAAAAACAGGAAACATTTGGCGTCATCAAGTGAAAGAGGTGCCAGAGAGTAAAGAAGATATTAATTTTCACCAAGTTAAATAGAAAGAGAAGGACGCAAAGCTTGTTTTCAGTGCATTTTAATGTATGAGAATGTGTTGCTATGAGGTATTGACTGTTCCTGGTTTGCAGTGCTGACCAGTGCCTGATTTAGATGAGAGGGGATATGTGAGGAAGGGAAAAGATACCCAAACTTCTTGTGTCTTTTCTTCTGCCTACAAATCTTTAAATCCAAACTTCTCCCGTCTTAGCCAACCATTTCCTTGTGGACTGTAGCATTTGAAGCATGTGAGGAAAGGCCAAGAACCATTGTGAGCTGAGAGATTTCTTACTTATCTCTCCCTTATGTTCAGCAAGTCTGACTTGTCATTGGTGATGTTTTTTTTTTTCAATTTATTTTTGGCTGCATTGGGTCTTCACTGCTACGCATGGGCTTTCTCTAGTTGCGGCGAGCGGGGGCTACTCTTCGTTGCGGTGTGTGGGCTTCTCACTGCGGTGGCTTCTTTTGTGGAGCACGGGCTCTAGGCGCATGGGCTCAGTACTTGTGGTTCGTGGGCTCTACAGCGCGGTCTCAGTAGTTGTGGCACACGGGCTTAGTTGCTCCGCAGCATATGGAACCTTTCTGGACCAGGGCTCGAACCCGTGTCCCCTGCATCAGCAGGTGGATTCTTAACCACTGCACCACCAGGGAAGTCCCATCTTTGGTGGTCTTGACCAGACCACCAAAGTGCGGCTCTGCTCGCCGCACCTGTGTCCCATGGCTGCTAAGGAGAGCACGAGGCTAGCTGTGCAGGACAAGTGCAGTTGTTTCCTGGGGCTGACACAACATATATCACAAACTCACTGGCTTAAAGTCACAGGAATTTATTCTCTCATGCCTGGAGGCTGGAATTCCAAACCAAAGTGTCTGCAGGGCTATATCCCCTCCAAGGGCTCTAGGGAGGAATCCTTTGTTGCCTCTTTCAGCTTCTGATAGTAAGTTCCTGTTTCAGACGAGTTTTTTGTGTCGACTAAAAAAAAAAAAAAAGCACAACCTAAAAGTTGAGAATTATGCTTTATTTGTCAGACATTCTGAGGACTTAAGCTGGGGAGACAGCCACTCAGATAGCTCTGAGGGACTGTTCTGAACAGGTAAGGGAGGAGCCTTACAAACAAATAAAACCAGGTAGTCAGAACATCAAAAGATTACTGTTAAAGAAAACCAGACATCTCAAGTTGACGAATTTAGTGCTTTTCTTTGAGTAGGAAGATGCCAGAGTCTGGACTTATTGAAACTACTCCTTTGATATGCATCTTAACTATCTAGGGCCAGTATCCTGTTTTTCTCCATCCTGAATCCCCTCAGGGTGCACAGCTGGGGGCAGTTGCAGTGGCAGAGGGCTTGATGGCTGCAACATCCTTGGCTTACTGACATAGCAGGCGACATTCATCCACATTTGTAAAATCAAAATTTGTTTTCAGCTTTGATTCCTGTCGACTGGCTTATTTTAAAAAGCTTTTATGATAGATGCTGTTTGGAACTTTTCAGTTTAAGTTAATTGTCTTTGAAAGTTACAGAACCTTCTAACATCTGTTTAATCATTTAGGTATTGTTTACTTTGGAACTTTTCACAAGTTTAAATAAATATAAATGTCTTTGAAAGTTGCAGAAGACATCTGAGAGGTCTTCACATTTTCATTCACATCAGCACCTAGGCATTTTCTTAGAGTCTTGGGCTCTACTTCCAAGATTATGTGGACAGCAGTATGAGCTAGCCTGTTACAGTGAAGCAAGGTGACAGTCACTAAGGAGTCCTTTCTAGTGGACTTTCAGAGACTGAAGGTGGCAGATTGCATTTTCCAAAGATGGCCACAACGTCTTCCATCCCACATGCTTTTCTGCTAAGTGACCTTGCCTCTCCCCACCAGGAGGTAGACTGTCAGCCCCCTCCCCTCTAACCTGGGCGTCCCTGGTGACATGCTCTGAATACAATGCGGCAGCAGAGGTTTCACTGGGGACTAAGACCAGGTCATAAGAAGTCTTGCAGTTCCTCACGGGCATTCTGGCTTACGTTCCCTTGGGATGTTCCTCTCAGAGTCACCCTTCGTGCCATGGGAGCCCAAGCCACGGAGAGGCCCATGTAGGTACTCTGGTGGGAAGCCAGGGCTGAATGCCCAGCCCACACCAGCATCTAGGACAGCCATGTGAGTGAGCCTGCTTGGATGTCGGCCCAGTCAAAACTGCTAATGATTCCGGCACACGTGAAAGACTTCCAAAGGAAAACATGTAGTTAAGCCCAGTCAGGAAATCGGAAAGATGGTTTTTTCAAGCTGCTATGTTTCCTGGTAGTTTGTTTTCCAGTAATAGATAACCAGAATAGTCTTTTCACCGCAAGCCCCATTGGTTCCCGTGTCCTAAAAACCTGTGTGTGGGCCCAGCCTCATCTCCCACACCTCAACCTTCCCACTTTCTCTAAATTTGTTTCTCTTTTCTAAGGGGTTCTGACCCGGGAAGTCTCTGCTCAGATACCCACCCTTTTATCCTGTGTTACTGCCCGGCTCCTCTGGGTCCATGTCCCGTTTCTCTTCCTTCTGGTGTTTCAACCACCTCCTCTAACAGCACCATCTCCTTCTCAGGGTTGGGAATGTCTCTTCCACAGGGTGATGACTGGGGTGCCATGAGTGCTGCATCAATTCCAGTTGTCTCAGTGTGGTCCCAACCAGTAGAAGGGACTCAGATTGGGAGCCTCCCAAATCTTCCTGTGGCTTGATCATGCTATCCCAAAACCCACAGAATTTTACTCCAAATGACACAACATCTGTCATTTTAGGTCAGAAAGTTGGAAATGTAAGCGCCTGCGAGGGAAGGCCACATTGAGGGTCCAGCACGGCACACAGTCCAGTGCAGATGGACTTGACCAGAGGCTGCTGGAGGTCTTGTGGGCTGCGACCCCAGTTCTCCTCCACCTCATGTCTTCAGAAGGAATTACAGGGTCTAATAACCAAATGCTTCCACCTACTTTTTATTTCCTTGAGTAGAAAGGAACATGAGAATTTTAAACCCAAAGACAGCAAATGAAACTATGTGCTTCCTTAGCCTGTGGAATGTAGGGAGTTTTTCTTTTTTAAAACAAATTCAGGAATTAGGCAGCTAGGTGTAAATTAGGCTTCAGACTATCTCTTTGGATGCTCTCACCTATTGCCCACCTCTGAGGCCGCAAGACTATTTCTGAAGCCCAGCCTCAAATGTGGGAGCTTATCCTTCATCGCATATGGACACAAAGACAAACATTCTTGGCAATCCATTGTGTCTGGTCCTTCCTCAGTTGCAAAGTAGCCACACAGTCTTCGCTAGAAGTTGGGGAAGATGCACCAGAAATTGGCTCTGTGACGTTCATCCTGTAACTCTGCTGGGCTGTCACCATCGTGGGTCAAATGATCATGATCTCTAAGGCCCTTTTCTTGTTTGGGACTCGTATGTATGTGTGTTCACTTTTCTAAAATGTGAATTTTTTCCTTATTAAAATAATTTACCTTTGTCCTTTAGATTGTTTGCCAAATTTTGTTCTATTCAAGGGTTGGGTCAGACACAGACAATAGGCAGCTGACATATTCAGAACTATAAGAACCAGAAGGCCACGCAGCCATTCTAACAGACCACTGGCACACTCAGTTACGTCTTCAGGGCCCAATTACCTTTTTTACTCTACAAAAACTTAATGTATTAAAAACAGAAAGATGTACCACCTCTACTCTGAAATTGTTTTATTTTAAAGGTAAAACTTTATACATCCTTTTAAAACATGAAAATTCAAAATTCTTGAGGCAAGTCGATCATACAAACCTATTTACAATAGTATTAAAGGAATGGTAACATTTCACCAGCATAAAATGTCACAGAATTCAAATCACAACTTGGATCTTCAACGATTCAAGTGTTTCATCCCACACAATAAGGTCTGGTTAGTTTTAAAGAAAATTCTTCCTCTGGATGTTCTGTTCTCAATCCTGCCTTTGAGGTTTAGACAGTAGGATAACTGGCCATGGTGGCGATTCCACAGTTGTTGTCCCGGTCTTTGGCCATCTTTATGTAGCCGTCCATGCCCCAATCTTCACCCCAGCTAAAAGAAGAGAGGGTTTTCCATTTTATACAAAGAATCAAACACATTTATCTTTATTAACACTTAAACAGTGCCCCAGAGGTCAGGACAGACTCAGAAAGAAGCAAGAAAGGCAGTTGTTCTTGTTCCTGGTTGAGTTCTAAATGTGTAAATAACTCCAGTCTCCAAACCTCTCACGGAACTGCAAAATTAGAGACAGAAAAAGGAAACTCTTGGGGCCAGATGTGTTTCAGATTTAAGAAAATTTTCAGATTTAGAAATGCAATGGTGCTGGGACTTCCCTGGTGGCGCAGTGGTTAAGAATCTGCCTGCCAATGCAGGGGACACGGGTTTGATCCCTGGCCTGGGAAGATCCCACATGCTGTGGAGCAACTAAGCCCATGTACCACAGCTACTGAGCCTGCATGCCGCAACTACTGGAGCCCGCGCGCCTAGAGCCTGTGCTCTGCAACAAGAGGAGCCACCGCAAGGAGAACCCCGCGCATGCTACGAAGAGTAGTCCCCACTCGACGCAACTAGAGAAAGCCCGTGCTGCAACAAAGACCCAAGCAGCCAAAAAATAATAATAAATTAATTAAATTTTTTAAAAAAAGAAATGCAATGGTGTCAAAACTCCATCAATACTCTAGGCAAGCTTGAGAGAGTACCTTAATGTTATAATCAAACATTAATATGTCTGTGCTCACCCTAAGTGGCATAAAGACTTTGGAAGTGTACTTAAGGGTTTGAGAACCTGTATCCAAATACTGATTCCAAAAGGGACTCCCATTTCAATCTCAAATATAAGTATTTTGGGCACTTTTATACCTGTTCTTGACAAGCCAGTATTTATTGTTATCTGAGTCTGTTCCTTCAAACCCATAGCCAACCGCCAGAACACCATGATCCAGGTCTTCACTGCTGCAGTGTGGGTCATAATAAATGCCTGGGAACATAAAATTCAAGGTTGGGGTAAGGACCTTCAAGTGACCCATGACAGTAACCCAGCCTATCAACTAGGATAAGAGAGGCACCTCAAAATTCAGCTAAAGGACATAAATCTAGATAGGATTTTAAAACAAGATCTATTTTTTTTTTATCTAGCCTAGGGATCTAGGTTCTTGTCTAGCACTAGCAGAAATACTGGCACAATCTCTTTTGTAAACAATGTGTCAGGAGACATAAAAGACCACTCCCTAAAACCTTATCATTTGACTTTCAGAATGTCAGTCTAGGGAAACAGCACACAACACAAAATTACTTCAGGCAAGAGGTTCTTTCCGGTTTTAATTACAGTAGTAAAATTGTTTGGAAAATTTCAAACGTCTAACAACTGGAAAAAAGTAAATTAAGCTATACGAATCAAATTAAGTAGCCATTTAAATATATTTGTGAAGTGCTTAAAATCATGGGGATATGGTTCAAGTAATGTCAAACGGACACATCAGGCACAAATACTACATGAACAACTACGTTAAATCTACACACCCCCAAATTATACACTGAATTCTACACACCAAAGAGTCAATCTTGCTGTATGTCATGGTGGTTTTCCAATTTTTCTGCCTAAACTTCCATACAGACAAATGCTTACCTGCTTTATAGAACTGGAAGGTTGGATGGCTTGCATCTATAGCAACAGAGATGGGGCCCACAGTTGCCACTGCCTTCATAAGGGCCTTCTCTTGCTTAGGAATGTCCACGAAACCAGTGTCGTTGGCAGCAGAACTCTGGGGTCTGTAGTGGCAGGATTCATCCTTTCAAAGGTAATGGGGAAGAGACTTGATTAATACCATCCCCGTCCTGGGGTACATGAGTTCAAGACAGTCTGCAGCTTAATGATTTCCAAGTCAAGTTTGTTATAAAGCATCCCAGGAGACGAAATGATATTGGTTGTTTTGAAATGGAAAAAGTAGCTGGTGTCTATTCAATGAGACACGCTCAGTCTACCTGTCCATAAGAAACGTTTACTCTGGAGAAATTTATACTTACATAGAATGGTATGTATATTTCCACATGACACAGAAATATTAACAGCTTTATGGTAACTATCTAAACAGAGAACTGTGCAAGGCTAACATATTTTAATACTAGTTCTGACAGTCTGCAGATATAGAGTCTACAATCTAAAATGTGAATTCTAAATTGGTATCTGTTTTCCCCCAAAGCGTTCAACTTTGATAACAAGATAAGGAGCTCCTTTTACCTTTCCAAAATATGGATAGGATTCCTCTGAGTCCAGGCCTCCGTTGTCCTTAACATACTGGAAGGCATTATCCATTAGGCCACCATTGCAACCCTCATTGCCTTGAGGCCGAGAGCAGTCCACCAGGTTCTGCTCACTCAGTGAAATAAGTTTGCCAGTTTTCCGGAACATCTGTCCTTCAAGGGCACCAGTTGCACTAAAAGCCCAACAAGAACCACACATACCCTGAAAACAAAATTTAAAAGCTCTTAGTGTACAAAACAAATAGCAAGACTTTGACGATAGCCCATATATCTGAAAATGCTTTTAAAAACTAGTGAATTGCATCCAAACTCTAGTCATTCAGAGCAGGCCATGGGGTGTTTCCAAAAGGAAACCTCTTCTCCAGGCATTTGAGGGCTCTTCTGTCCACTTTCAGTGCTTCAGAAGGAAAAGTCTTCAAGAGCTGGCAAACAACTCTTCATCACAGCAAATGCATCTCTCATTCCAAGAAACTTATCAACACAATTCTTTTTCTCTCAAGGAAATTTGAAACCAAATAAAATGTTTTAAATTCTTGAAAAAACAAAAACAAAAAACGAGTGAACTGCATGTTGGTCCACAGCCTACCATTGCAAGGACGGCAACTCCAATTTGGCTTTACTCTTGGAGAGAGATCTGCTGAATACTGTCATACCTGATTCTTCACAGGAGTTACATAGCCTTTCTCTCTCCAGTCCATGGATGAGGGAATCAAACCAAAGACGGGTACTGGGAACACTTTCCCCTTCTTGCGCTTCTGGTTTCGAAGACCATTCATCACCTGCCTGAATTCTTCACTGGTCTTCAAGGAGAAGGAAACAATGTTGACAAGCAAGAGGTTATTTTCCTAAAGTACTAAGGAGGGGAGGCACAAAAAGTTCATGCCACACTCACCATGTCACCAAAGGCATTCATTGCCATGGTGAAGCCATGTTTCCCTTGGCTGTATTCCTGATTGTGCAGGTCAATCATTTTCATATTCTTCTCCCACACTGTTCTCCTCCATCCTTCTTCATTCTACAGGCAAACAGGTAACCTATACTCTTTACTTCTATTTAAAACCAACCCACCTTCACCAAGTGGATTTGCAGAAAGAGAGGAAGAGAAACCATGGCCAGAGGTGCTTTATACTCCTGGGAACTGTTTCCCAGCACCCACACAACAGCGTCGTATGCCCGTACTGTACTCGGTAATGGGTGCCATGAAGTTACTGCCCTGGTAAGAGGCAGCCTCAAGAGGTTACTATCTGCTATAAACTCCCAACAGCATGGACCATTCTCTGAGGGGTTTCAGATGGACAGTTTCAGATGTTACCAACCAAGCCATATAGTTTCCTGTGTGTTGCCTTCCACAATTTCCATTGTGCATTTAAACTGAGATCAAGTTTTAAAGCCGCTGAGGCTATTCCCAAGCAAAGGGCAGTCAGGATGAGTGAAGGATTCATGTTTCAAAAGCCTAGGAAGGGAAAAGAAATGAGTATCTGATTAAACCAATCTTACTAAAAGGCCATCCTACTTTTTTCTGAGACGTTATACCCACTATGGTGGAGTAAAAACATTTATCTTCCCAAGTATTTACACAAGGACTGTAGGGGAAGGCTAAGTACGTGGATAGAGAAAAACAGCTCAGAGACCCCAGTTTCCGCGCCGGAGACGGTGAGGCTCTTCTGGGACTCAGAGCCGCGGCTAGGGCGAAGCTCCCTCCCGGGTTGCAGGCGGGGCCAGGCCAGGAGCGTGCCGCCCCGCCCCCCGCCGCCAGCGAACGCCCGCCGATCTCAGAGGATGTTGACGCGGCGCAGGGAACAGCGGCCACTGCAGCCCGGCTTGCGGGGGTCAGGCTGCCCTGTGTGACCAGCGCCTCCTGGGACCCCTCCAAACCCCAAGCCTGGCAGTCCCGCTGGTTCCCGGGGTGACCCCGCCGCGCCAGGCCCCAGCCCGGGGTGCTCACCTGCGGCAGGCGCAGCTGCGCAGGCGCAGCCAACAACTATGGATCCAGGGGCGTCGGAGATGGGGCTGTGGGCGCTTGTCCTCCCATTTAAGGCTCCGGGATTCCGCTCGGCCGGCCCCGCCCCCCGCTAGCCCGCGCCGCGATTGGCTGAGCTACATGTGGGCGGGGCCCCTGTGCTGGGACTCCCGGCGTCTCACGGGGCTGGTCCCAACTGGGGCTGGTCCCAACTTGGCCAGGTGCCAGCCTCAGTGGACCCGACGGCGGCGAGCTGGGCAGCGCTGAGAAGGGTGGACGGAGCCTCCTTGGGGACCCGGATCAACTAATTACCTCGATTGCGCTCGGCCGGTGGTTCACGAAAAGAAGCTTATAGGGAGCACCAAGTGGATTATCAGCGCAACCCTGTGCCGCCTTTAGTCCTAGAGTTTTTGGTGAAAGTTTGCGGGAGGGCTGTCTAGTTTAGGGGTTCCCGCTTATTCCACAGCAAAGGTGGGGCGGGCTGGAGGAATGCGGAGCCCTCAGGCAGACGCCTTACCTCCCGGGCTGAGGGTGGTACCAGCTGGGTTTGAGAAGAATCGGAGCGGAAAGACAGTTCCTCAAAGCTCGGGACGCGCTGGTCACTCCCCAAATCCCGGGAGGGAAAGGGGACGCGCTGGGTGGGTCTCCAGAGAAGGCATGGCATTTTGTAATGCCCCTTTCCTGTCTTCCCGGTCAGGGGTTCCTCTCACCTCTCAAGCTTTCCTCAAAACCAACAGAAACGAGTTATTTACAGAAAAATTTAGTTTAAAAAAAGGAAAGGTGGAAAGTAGAAACGGCTTTTACCTTCCCACACTCGACCTTAAGGATTGTTATGTCTTCCTTAGTATCTAAGGTGCTTTTCTTGAGATTTAAGAAATTTAACTTTTACTTCAGTGAGTTCTACTTTACATTTAATGTCAGGATTTAAATGACAGTTAGTGAAACATTTTAAATGGAGGAAAATAGATTTATATATTAAATATTAATTTATATAATTAATAATTTAAGGAACACAAGCCAGAAAAGTTGTGCATGTTTGTCCTTTACTACATAAAAATATATTCATTGTAGAAAATACCTTTTATAAAAAAATTATCATTACCTCATGTCCCTTTCCACATTACCTTTTTTCTCTGCATATTTTGAATTTTTAAAATAAAAATGTAGTCATGGTTCACTGGCCTTGTAAACTAATTTCTACTTAAGATTAAATGGATAAGCATTCTGGAAGCACAATCAGACACAATTTTACTGTGTTAATATGTACATAACATAAAAATGTCTATTTTAACCATTTTTAAGTGTGCAGATAAGTGGCATTAAGTCCATTCACATTATTGTGCAACCATCACCGTCAGCCATCTTTGGAACTTTTTCATATTCCCAAACTGAAACTCTGTACCCACGAAACAATAATTCTGCATTTCTCCCTCCTCCCAGCCTTTGGCGACCACTATTCTAATTCTGTCTCTCTGAATTTGACTATGTACCTCTCATAAGTGGAATCATCTAATATTTGTCCTTTTATGCCTATGTCACTTCACATAATGTCTTAAAGGTTTATTCAGGTTGTAACGTGTCAGAATTTCTTTTTTTCTAAAGGTGAATAAAATTCCCTTGTATGAATGTACCGTGTTTTGTTTCTCCAGTCATCCCTGGATGGATATATGGGTTATTTCCACATCTGACTATTTTGAATGATGCTGCTGTCAACGTCGTTGTACAAGTGTTCAAATTCCTGTTTTCAGTTCTTTTGGGGATCTACACGGAAGTGGAATTGCTGGATATGGTAGTCCTATGTCTAATTTTTTTCTATGTTTTCCATGGTGGCTGCACCATTTTACATTATACCAGCATTGCACAGAGTTCCAATCTTAAATATTTTCTTAAATTCTTTGAGCTGCCTTTTCGTAAAGTCAGTACTGTCTTTTGGTGCACAGGAGTTTTAAATTTGGATGAAGTCCAGTTTACCTATTTTTTCTTTGGTTGCCTGTTCTTTTGGTATCGTATCCAAAAAATTATTACTAAACCCAATATCAGGAGGCTCCTCCCTTGTGTTTTCACCTAAAGTTTTATAGTTTCAGTTCTTATGTTTGCATCTTTGATCCATTTTGTGTTAACTTTTGCATATGGTGTAAGGGAAGGGTCCAATTTCATTCTTTTGCATGTGGATATCCGACTTTCCCAACATCATTTGTTGAAAAGACTATCTTTTCCCTATTGAATGGTCCTGGCAACCCCATACAATTTAGAAAAATCAATTCGTTAAATATTTTAAGATCTTTGAGGAAATAGAAACTTTTCTTTCTCAGACAGGACTAGAGGCTGAAGCTCTTAGGTGGTTACAAAAGCGTGTTGTATTATAAATGACTGGAGGTTAAAAATATTTTTAATACACCATGGAGTTCAACACAATCATTCACTCAAAAAATCTAAGTACATAATCTAATATATGGGTTTTACAGTTGCCCTTGGGTCACAGGGTGGAAAAACCTGCCACTGCATGACCATGAGTACCTGGAGCAATAGCCTCTCTGGAGGCTGTTCCGAAGAGTGGCGGCTACTTTGTTTCTTGGAAGGTGATGCAAATGCATCAGAGAACACTGGACTTTTAAAAATATTGAATGTGCCTCAAATCTACAATTAGACCAAGAAATATCTAAATGCCAGAGAAATATGGGAGAAGGCCATTTAAGCAAGAAACTGCAACATCTATTTATACAAAATCTGTTAAGTAATGTATTACAGAAAGACATTAGCTTAGCCATTTTGTTCTTATTTCTACTCTTCTATCTCATTTCTTTGCCAAATAACTTAGATGAGTGCTCATTATTAAAATGGTCACGTTTTAGTCAAGTGACCAATCCTTAACTCTGCCTTTGATAAAATGCAGTTAGCAGAACTTCCTGATTCCTATTTAAAATGCAATACCTGTGAAAGTATATTCTTTTTTTTTGAATTATATTTTATTTTCTTATACAGCAGGTTCTTATTAGTTACCTATTTTATACATATTAGTGTATACATGTCAATCCCCATCTCCCAATTCATCCCACCCCCACCCCACCCCCCCAGCCACTTTCCCCACTTGGTGTCCATAAGTTTGTTCTCTACATCTGTGTCTCTATTTCTGCCCTGCAAACCAGTTCATCTGCACCATTTTTCTAGGTTCCACATATATGCATTAGTATACGGTATTTGTTTTTCTCTTTCTGACTTACTTCACTCTGTATGACAGTCTCTAGATCCATACACGTCTCTACAAATGCCCCAATGTCGTTCCTTTTTATGGCTGAGTAATATTCCATTGTATATATGTGCCACAACTTCTTTATCCATTTGTCTGTTGATGGGCATTTAGGTTGCTTCCATGACCTGGCTATTGTAAATAGTGCTGCAATGAACATTGGGGTGCATGTGTCTTTTTGAATTACATTTTTTTCTGGGTATATGCCCAGTAGTGGGGTTGCTAGGTCATATGGTAATTCTATTTTTAGTTTTTTAAGAAACCTCCATACTGTTCTCCATAGTGGCTGTAACAATTTACATTCCCACAAACAGTGCAAGAGAGTTCCCTTTTCTCCACACCCTCTCCAGCATTTGTTGTTTGTAGATTTTCTGATGATGCCCATTCTAACTGCTGTGAGGTGATACCTCATTGTAGTTTTGATTTGCATTTCTCTAATGATTAGTGATGTTGAGCAGCTTTTCATGTGCTTCTTGGCCATCTGTATGTCTTCTTTGGAGAAATGTCTATTTAGATCTTCTGCCCACTTTTGGGTTGGGTTGTTTGTTCTTTTAATATTGAGCTGCATGAGCTGTTTACATATTTTGGAGATTAATCTTTTGTCCATTGATTTGTTTGCAAATATTTTCTCCCATCCTGAGGGTTGTCTTTTTGTCTTGTTTGTAATTTCCTTTGCTTTAGAAAAGCTTTAAGTTTCATTAGGTCTCATTTGCTTATTTTTGTTTTTATTTCCATAACTCCAGGAAGTGGATCAAAAAAGATCTTGCTGTGATTTATGTCAAAGACTGTTCTTCCTATGTTTTCCTCTAAGAGTTTTATAGTGTCCAGTCTTACATTTAGGTCTCTAATCCATTTTGAGTTTATTTTCATGTATGGTGTTAGGGAGTGCTCTAATTTCATTGTTTTACATGCAGCTGTACAGTTTTCCCAGCACCACTTATTGAAGAGACTGTCTTTTCTCCATTGTATATCCTTGCCTCCCTTATCATACAGTAGTTGACCATAGGTGCATGGGTTTACCTCTGGGCTTCCTGTCCTTTTCCATTGATCTATATTTCTGTTTTTGTGCCAGTACCATGTTGTCTTGATTATTGTAGCTTTGTAGTGTAATCTGAAGTCAGGGAGTCTGATTCCTCCAGCTCCATTTTTTTTTCCCTCAAGACTGCTTGGCTCTTTGGGGTCTTTTCTGTCTCCATACAAATTTTAAGATTTTTTTGTTCTAGTACTGTAAAAAATGCCACCAGTTATTTGTAGGGATTGCATTGAATCTCTAGATGCCTTTGGGTAGTGTAGACATTTTCACAATATTGATTCTTCCAATCCAGTAACATGGTATATCTCTCCATCTGTTTGTGTCATCTTTGATTTCTTTCATCAGTGTCTTATAGTTTTCTGAGTACAGGTCTTTTACCTCCTTAGTTAGATTTATTCCTAGGTATTTTATTCTTTTTGTTGCAATGGTGAATGGGATAGTTTCCTTAATTTCTCTTTCTGATCTTTCATTGTTAGTGTATAGGAATGCAAGAGATTTCTGTGTGTTTATATTGTATCCTGAAACTTTACCAAACTCACTGATTAGCTCTAGTAGTTTTCTCGTGGCATCTTTAGGATTCTCTATGTATAGTATCATGTCATCTGCAAGCAGTGACAGTTTTACTTCTTCTTTTCCAATTTGTATTCCTTTTATTTCCTTTTCTTCTCTGATTGCCATGGCTAGGACTTCCAAAACTACGTTGAATAATAGTGGTGAGAGTGGACATCCTGTCTTGTTCCTGACCTTAGAAGAAATGCTTTCAGTTTTTCACCA